GGGCAGGCACCCCTGGCTGGACCAGGGTTCAAATCCTCACCCAGCCATGGGAACCCACTGGGGAGGCCTGGGGCAAGGTCACATACTCTCAGCCTCAAGGGGAGACGGAGACACACACACACACCTCTCCAGGGCCCAACCGAACTGAAGGCCTCAGGTGGCATGGGTGCTGGGGGTGGCAGGACCTTGGCTGTTTTTCCTGAACCTCTTCCTCGCACCATGACCAACTTTGAGCCCCAATTTTGAGGGGAAAGCAGGGTACAAACAAATATCATCATCATCATCATCATCTTGCCATATGCCTCAGGCAGCAAAATGCCTTGGGCCACTCCAACACTGAGAGATTGGGGTCATCTGCAAACTTGGGCAAGTCACACTCTCTCAGCCTCAGAGGATGGCTTTGGCAAACATCCTCTAAAGAAACCTGCCAAGAAAAAACTGCTAGAGTTGCCTTACGGTTGCCATAAGTCAAAAGGGCCAGTCCATATTCAGAAGTATAATAAAACCTTTAATTGGGGCATTTAGCTTTGACTTGTTGTCACTTCTTTCCCCTCATTTCATATATTGATCTTATGGGAAATAACAACCTGCACATCAGATCAGATATGGATCAACAGAAAAATCTGATAAAGATTGGCAACCAGTTACAGAACATTTGAATATGTACTGGGAACCAATTATGCCAAAACAAAAACACCTAATTAATAAAAATTAGTGTGAAAACAAACAAAAGGAGCAACTAAATAAATGACTCAGTCATTAAATATAATCTGATAAAAGGAAAAATTAAGTGAATATTTTTATTACAGTCCAACAAGGAAAATAAGACAAGTTAGGAGCAGTAGTAGAAGTCTAATATTTTGTACAAAGTCTTAGCAAAAGGACACAGAATATGGAACAAAAATTAATCCAAAACTTAAGAGGACAGAAACTCGTTTTATGTTATTGTATGTCATGGTATATATTGAGTGGTGTTTTAGGTGGGGAATGTTTGTGGATTATTGTAATTGCACAAGTGATATGTGTTGGTGGTCTGTTTTGTTGAATATATGTATGGGTTTTGTTATTTTTAATTCTACTAAAGTCATTAAAAAGTCATAAAATTGGGAAAAGTCATAAAAAGTCATAAAAGTCATTTAAAAGTCTGCACTTTATTGTTCGACTCAGACCAGAATCTGAGATGAAAATATTTCCTTTTAAAGCTGCTTCATCTTGTTACGTCTCTCTTTTAAACGCAGCTCTTTCCTTATTTCTTCTTTTTTTGCAAAGTAGCAATTATCGCCCCTTGAAAGCAGCTCTGTTTTTCCACTATATTTTTAACTGCTGGCTCATATCTGATTCCAGCATTTTCGGGGCAAATGATTTAGCGCAAAGACAAAGCGTCCACTTTTCAGGGATCTCAAGCCGGGCTGGACATCAGACACGCTTTGCTTTGGAAATACTTCTTTGCAATGGCTGTTGGAGCTGAGCTGAAGTTACTAGTCAGTGGCCAGGAAAATGCACTTTGTACATGCTCTAAGGCATGCTCCTTTTAATCCTCAGGTTGCCCCTTTCATTCTTGGCACTGCATCTGAGGAAGTAGACCAAGGTCCAAAACACACTGCAGAAATAATCCATATAAACTGCAGTTCCCAGAATTCCCCAGCATTGAGTCAGAGCAGTGAAAGCAGTCTCAAACTGGATTATTTCTGCAATGTGTTTCGCACCCAAGTCTATGAAAATTTACGCTACAACTTCTTCTACATTTTAAGGTGCCACAAGATCCCTTTGCATGCTGATATGAAATAATGTAATTGCCAATATGAACAGAAGACCTTTTTATTTAGGCAGGCATTTATTTGGTGGGTGAATTGGACTTGTGTCGTGCGATGTACTGGTTTTAACTATGCTGTTTTCAACTTATGTTTTAATGTTAGCAAAATTTAATATTAGCAAAATTTAATTATTTTTTTTAAAAAACTTTTGTAATCAATGTTTTGTAATCAATGTCTTTTTTAAAATTGTTGTAATCAGCCTCGAATCCGATTGTGGGAGAAAGGCAGGATATAAATCCTTGAAATAAAATAAAATACTACATTACTTTATATGAGTCTGCAAAGGGATCTTGTAGCATAAATGTGAGACTAAATGTGTAGAAAGAGTTGCAGCATAAACTTTCATACAATGCAACTGCCAATATGAGGCAGTGTGGCATAGCGGTTTGAGCATTGGACTCTGAGCATTGGACCCATTGGAGACCAGGGTTCGATTCCCAGCTCAGCCATGCAAACCCAATGGGTGACTTTAGGCAAGTCACAGTCTCTCAGCCTCAGAGGATGGCCATGGCAAACCCCCTCTGGAGAAACTTTCCAAGAAAACCCCATGATAGGTTCACCTTAGGAGCATTATAAGACTTGGAGGCACACAGCAACAACAACAACTGCAAATATACCTGAGGTTTGATATTAACTCCATCTGTGGATCTCAAAGAGGTTTAGCTCAGAGAAGACTGACAGGTAACACGATAGCCATCTTTCAATATCCGAAGAGACATCATGTAGACAGAAGATGGAGTGAGCTTGTTTTCTGAAGTCAGATTGTTTTCTGCTGCTCCAGAAGCTAGAAAGCAATCCAACGGATTACAATTGCAAGACAAAAGGATTCCATGTAAATATTAGAAAGAATTTCCTGATGGTAAAAAATGATCCAAGCTTGGAGGCTGGCGGATTCTCCTCCTCTGGAGTCTTTAAACAGGGTTTGGATGGGTATATTTTGGGAATGCTTTAGCTCTGAGATCCTCCGCTGGTGGAGGGTTGGACTATATGGCCCCTGGGGTCCCTTCCAATGTTTCTGCAAATGGACTGCAATCCACAAAAGCTTGTGCCAAAATAGATCAGTTAGTCTTACGAGTTGCTGCTAAATTCTTCCTTCTTGTTCCTGTTTTTCCTTTCCTTTTCCCTCCTCTTCCTCTATTATTATTATTATCATTATATATTATTATATATTATTAGCTGTTAAGATGGATCTCTTCCAGTAGGCCTTTCCTGAGTAGATAACCGGCCTCCGAAAATAGTTATGCCTGTTCTTGATTTCCACTAGGGTTATTTTAATTTATTTGTCATTTATTGCAATTTATTGCAGTTTGTTATTTTAAAGTCTGTTTTTTAAATTTTGATTGTTTTTAACTGTATTTTGGAAGGGGTATTGGGGGATGGGATTGTTCGTTTTATCTTGTAGGCCGCCCCAGTTGTATCTACAGAGAAGCTGGATATAAATAATAATAATAATAATAAGAAGAAGAAGAAGAAGAAGAAGTAATAATAATAAGTAATAATAACTACCACCACCCACACCACTACTATTATCTTCCCTTGGTGACTCTGAGCTGGGATCCTAACTGTTTGCACAGAGAGAGAGATCTAGCATGGGGTTTTCACAAAAATGCACTGAGCAGATTTGGGTCAATGGTTATTTATATCCTGCACCAAGCATCAGCCTGTTTTTGCTTCTCCAGACAGGGCTCTTTCATCTCTGTTTTTCTGCAGTTCTTTTTGGTCTCCCAGCATCC